GGAGCCCGGGAAACACGGCGGGGGGGGGGGGGGGGGGGGGGGGGCCTTTGCTGGCATATTACGTTGAGTCCCGCCCAGCTCACTGATGTCACTTGTTGCCAGGAGCTTTGCAGGACACCAGCCAGAGAGTGTCACGGGTTGCTAAGAGCTCTAGGATAGCCTTGATGGAAAGCATTTTTTATTCAATCTTATCAATAAGTGGAAAAATAGCTGTTCATTCAGTCAGAGGTCCAGTGAGCCTGTAACTTGCTGTATACTGTGCCTGTGCTGCACTGAAATTCCAAAGAGTCTCGTCAACACTGTCTAGGTTACCTCTGTGAACTACAGAACAACTTGACCTTTGTTATAGAGATCAGGAGAGGGGCAGGTGTTATGTAGTACAAATCAAGAGCAAACAGCCTAGGACAGAAAATGATTTCCTGGCAGGATCAACTGGTGAAAAGTCTGAAAAAAAGATAACCAATGCAACTGCCACATCTAATGACTTTTAAGCTGCAATATATTAAATTCTAGTTAATGGGTTTACATACACTTTAAATCTGACACACACTGAACTTTGTCAACAGTTTCATGGTGCAGCATTCAAAACCATTTTGCTGATTGTTATACAAATTAGCCAGCAGTTAAACAATTAGAACAATAAGGAAGGGGCTAATTTTGTTGAAAATACCAAGGAGATGCCAAAGAAAGTCTTACAACAGTTGCAAGGCACTACCTAAGTATAGCCAAGAATAAACTGCAGATTGATAGAAAATCACCTGGACTGTACAGTATGACCAACTGCTGATTACAAGACTAGCAAGTTCACTCCCTACTTCGCAGCTTTTTACAGCCCATACTTCCAAACTTTACAATGAAAAGAGACTTTATATCCCACCCCCATCCACCTATACACGGGCCCATTTTTAACTTTTGCAGATAGACTATGGCACTTCTGGAAAGCCCCAGTCTTTTAGGAACACAATCTGGTCATCCCCCTAACATTTAAATTGCAGAGAAGTATTCCTTGCCTTTTAAACATTTTGCTGTTAAAATCAATGAAAAAAGTAAGATCAGTATAAATTTTCTTATCATTAAATATTTCATTCTGCTTCCATCTAAAGGATGCTGTCACAGACACAGACCTACTTTGCTTAAATGGTATTACTGGTGAAAATATTGTAACTACCAAGTGCATTCTTTAAATGAATGACTGTATTTATTTATCTGCAGTACTATAATGTGTTCCCAATACTAAAGCACTTCCTGAAAACTCCTAGCATTGTTGTAAAGAGAATTGATGAGCTTAATGAAGTTTTGCTTGAGCTTTATAAACAAGCACAAGAGTCTAAATGTGAAGATTCCTTCAGGACTTATGCTGAAGCGTTCCTACAGAAAGGAGAAAGAGTAAGCGTAAAACCTACTATCTAAATGTATATTTTTGTGTATTTATTAAGTACTTTCATCCTTATATACAAAAGTAAGCAAAGCTAAATGCTCAGAACCCTAATGAGACTTCATCAGTACTATATAGATATAACAGTTTATTATCAGAACAATATCTTGCCTAAATGTTATTTTATTCATATATCATTAAAACTAAGGCAAAAACAAGTGACAAATCAATAATAACAAAACACGTCCTTCCATGCCCCTCATTAAACCATGAGGTGTGATATCCGTATGTTACAATTACACGAATTTCCAGATAGCCTAACGTTGCTCAATGACTGGGCTTTTGGGTACTTGATGCATTTCGTGGACATCACCGTCCACTTCTTTGGGAGAACTTAGAATGCAATGATCAATGACGTGAATTTGAAGTTAGCCGTCAATATTTAATTACAGAATAAATAATTGTATATACAGTCTAATAAGTAAGTACATACCCTTACAAACAATCAGAGTATATATTCAACCAGTACTTAAAAACTATAAAAGCCATGTCAACATGCAAAGACTTGTATGACCAGGCCACAACAGGAGGCAACAGGAGACAATAGAAGCACCATTACCTACATCAATTAGTTCTTGGCACAATTGTATCAGGTGTTTATATGCACCAACGGGGAAATCTAACCCAATATTGGAAAAGTGACAAAAGCCTACCCCAGTCCAGTGTGAGGGTAATGATGACACCATGTTTCATGTTACAACTTGAATATGGGTGTAACATGAAACATGGTCAGAAGGGTTAACTTTGCCTTTACAAACTTAAAACTTACATACAATTTAGAAACAATGAAATAAAAATGAAACCATTATAATTTACACTTGCATTACTGCAAAACAATGCAAAGTTTAAAAGGAAGTGTAACTGAGCCAGAACTATTAGCAAATAGTTCAGGCCAATCATAGTTGGGGCATATTTATAAAGCAGTAAATGTGACATTCACCAAACATCCACTGCAGGTAATTCAATCACTAATTTAAAACATGTGAATGTGAAGATTCACTTGTAGTAAATGTTTGGTCAATATTACATTCGCTGCTTTATAAATATGTCCCATTGGAGATTCATTAACGCTATTTACCTCTATTTGGAAAGGTGTTCACCATGAACTATGACAGCTCTGTTGTAGTCTGAAGAGGCAGGACAACATCCAGTATTAACACAAAGAGAAAGAAAATAAAGTTCCAATAGTGTATTAAAGTATTATTATTCAGAAAGTAATATAAAATTGTATTCTAAACTGCCACTAGAGTAGACTGAAGGAAACCTGCACAACATCACTAGACTGTGTTCTGTGTGTTAAGTATATAAAATGGTAATCAAGAACATTTTAATTGATGCTTGTATTTGCATGAAAAGGAAAAGGCCGTGGAGGAGAAAGAAAAAATATTTACAGAGAAGAACTTGTTGGCTTCAACATTTGATCTCATGCTTGGTGGTTCAGAAACTACCTCCACTACATTACAGTGGGGCATCCTGCTCATGCTAAAATACCCTCATATACAAAGTAAGAATTTTAGATATTAATTTCAAATCTGCGCTTAGGGGTAATCCTAAAACAACTATAAATGATTAAATAGATTGAAAAGCTGCTGCACTATAGACAACCTGGTCCAGCTATAAATGTTAGTGAATGTACAGCGCTAGGGGCCCAAATAGCAACTAATTTGGTAGGTCTATTCTAAGGGTGATTTATAAATTAGTTAATCAATAACAGCCAATTGTGCATAAAATACAAATTAATATGCAGTGGATTAATAAATTTAAAAAAATGTTGCGACTCTATGACAAGAATTGTGCAAACAATGCAAAGAAGTGCAAAATGTGCAAAAAAATATGTATGTGCATAAAATGTATAATTAAAAACATCCAGATAAAAATTGCTTCCTATCTAAAAGGTGAATAAATTATCTCATAAAGGATCTATATAATCCATTAAACATGAACCTTAAACTCCAATATCATATCCAGTCTGATCAGTCCATAATCCATAATCCATATGTGAAAATATAAATATATTAATAATGTGAAAAATATATAATATGATACAATATATCTAATATGTGCAATAGGACAAAGTCCCAAAGTGCTTGATGAACTCTCCAGAGATCGTATTTGTGCCATGCAAACACCCCCTCAAGAGTGCGCACTCACCGCAATAGAATGGCTGTATATAACAACCAAAAAAAAAGCTGACTGATAGACCACGATATTCCAGCGTCTTCTACAGATGCTTTCAAAACGATGTCGCATAGATCAATGGATCCCCGCATTTATAGAAAAAAAGAGATCCTCATTGTATAGTAATTCAAGAACCATTTATTTTAGAAAATTAAAAACTTACATCCATAAAATAAGACAACCAGCCGGTCAAATTCAACAAGAGCCCGCACTTCCGGGTTTGGTATGGTATACCTTACCATACCAAACCCGGAAGTGCGGGTTCTTGTTGAATAAGGGCCACTCATGACCCTCCATCAATTATTGGCTCACACACTTCCCCTTCCCTTTACCCTCCTCCATCTACTTACAGGATCCACCCCATGCTCCTCCTTTTTAACTAGCTGATGTACTGTCCCTATGCCTGCCTAGCTCAGCAGCAACTGAAGCACTAAACTACTTGTTATATACCAAAAACAACCCTCTAGTTTTATTGTTAATAAACAATCTTAACTGTGGAAATGTAAAGTTTATTTCTAGGCAAAACTTTTTTTTATGTTATAGATGAGGAAGGGATAGACCACCTGCAGCTGTTCTCATTGGCTAGATTGATTCTTCTATTTGTACTGGTGATCATTGTCCCGAGAAAGAAAGTGAGGAGAATTCCATCATTTTAGAGTTGAACAATAGCAGAACAAGAAGTGAGGGGAAATCTTCTGGTAGGGACACTTTTTCCAGGGACAACTGTCTAAGAGGGGAGTTCCCCTCACTTTGAAAGATTTCCTCTAACTTCCTGTGGTGTCTGTGGGACAGAAAGTGAAGGGAAGTATCCCCAATGGTACATTATCCGAAACTAACAAAAAATGTTTTGGTCATAGATCTACATTAATAAGTAAACCTAAACTCTCAGCTGACAACAATTAAAGTGCTACCTGCTAATTAAAAGAGGTAATCAAAACTTTGTGAATTCGTTGTGCTGGGCTTGTATTTGAACAATTACTTAAACTTGGATGTTAAAAGCATATTATATCTAAACTTTAGCAACGAAATTTGTACATTAGCTACCCATGCACAGTTATTACATCATACTGTCCAAATGTCTCTAGCAAGACAGTTACATATTTCAAAGAGCTTTTGTCTGTTTCTTAATCTCTGGTACACTTACCCCAGAAGGGTACTTCACACAGGTCCAAGTGATACTTATGCACAACAATGCATATTTCAGTAAAGAGATCATTTAAAATGATAGAACCTTTTAATTCTTGTCTAACTTTAAACAACATTATAATGTTTTTCTTAAGAAAAAGTTCAGGACGAGATTGAGGAAGTGATTGGGCTGGAGCGTCCTCCGAGGTGGGATGACCAGAAGGTGCTGCCTTACTGTCTGGCAGTAGTGCATGAAATTCAACGTTTTGGTAACATCCTTCAGTACTTACCACACGCTACGCCCACAGATATCAGCTTCAGAGGCTACACTATACCTAAGGTAAGCATTTCATTCTTTTAAGTAGAGGGAATTAAGAACCTTAGAGCAGAGGTTTCCAAACAGCCATATAGTATAGGTATCCCAGTGGACACATCTAAAAGGTTCAAGTTATTTCTTCCCGACAAGTAAAAAAAAAAAAAAAGCTGAAATCTACACATATGTAAAAGACTCAAATTAATGCAACTTTCTTATCACGATTTCATAATTAAATGTATTTCTTTAATGCAAGGAGTATAAGTACCTTGTAGCTGAGTGCCCGATGGGCCAGATGGGGCCGCAGGGTTGGTTTAAATTTTTTAGTTTTCTCAAAATTTTTTTATCCCTTTTTTATTTTTATTCCTTTATTTATTTCTTAAAATTTTATTTATGTTATTATATTTTATAATTGCACTTTTTAATTTTTTTACTTTTTCATCATTTTTTTCATTTTAATTATTTCTCATTATTTTTTAGTTTTTTTAAACTATTTATTTATTTATTTTATTATTTTTAACTTTTTCTCAATTTTTTTAAAACTCACTTAACTTTATTGTTATCACATAGGAGCTAACAAGCCCCTGTGTGATAGCATTTGGAGGTGACAGGTTCTCTTCATGGAACCTGTCACCTCCAATACAGAAGTTCTAGCACAGTACTGTGCTGGAACTGGAACTCCTCTGACAGCTGAGATGGGAAGGCTGCGAGTGCAGCTCTCTCTTCTCATTGTTTACACAGAGCAGAGCTGAGAACTGCTCCCCGCTCTTCGTCGTCAATGAATGTTCTTTGGTCCTGGGTCCCCCGAAGGGGCGGGGGGACCTGAAAACCAGCTTGGGAGAGGCAGCCAGGTGAGGTAGGGGACCATAGAGGGGGGGACGGAGCTGCACGCATATCACAAGTGATTTCGGCAACATTGCTGGGATCACTTGTACTAAAACACCAGCTTCCCAGCTGTACTTATAGCCTTGATTGCCCGAAGCAGGGCTAAATGTAAAAAAATTAATAAATACCTGCCCGCTGGCTGTGCTGCTCCTCTATTCCCTGCTGCCCCAAGGCCCGGCCTCGGTGGCCTTGTGGGAAATCCGGTCCTGACAGTAACTTGTTAATTTGCACAGAAGGAATATACATGCAGTTTGGCTGGACAAATATCTATGCAAAATAGACCAAGTTGTAATTGGTGAGGGTGCTCTCCGCACACCTTTCAGCAATCCCGGCCAATAGAGATGAGGTGCTTGCAGTAACTCCCACGGATGGCACCGTGTAATGCACAAAGTAGAAAGAATAGGTTACCAGCACTCAAAATGATTTCAAATAGATAAGTCCTTTTTATTGGACATACGTGTCACAATAGTCAAACAGCCAACGTTTCGGGGCCACGCAGGGTCCCTTCCTCAGGGCAAAAGATGTGACCTCTTTTGCCCTGAGGAAGGGACCCTGCGTGGCCCCGAAACGTTGGCTGTTTGACTATTGTGACACGTATGTCCAATAAAAAGGACTTATCTATTTGAAATAATGTTGAGTGCTGGTAACCTATTCTTTCTACTTTATGCAAAATAGACCTCTTTAGAGCTTAACATGTAGCTCCCACTCTATGGAACTTGCCTCCCTGTCAGAGGGGTATTGTACCTGTAGGTATTCAAATCCAGGCTAAAAATATAACCGATAGTAGTTAAGGGCCATTATTTAGCTTCTGCAGGAGAAAAGCATGTTTATTATTGTGGTTGGTTGTAGAGGGATATGTGTTGCCTCTGAAATTAGAATGAAATGTAAGTTCATATTTAATCGTATATGTTATCATTTAATAGGGAACCACAATTGTTCCTCTTTTCACCTCAATTTTATATGATGAAACCAAATGGGACAGCCCCAGGGAATTTAACCCGAATCATTTTCTTGATGCTGATGGGAAGTTTTTAAAGAGAGATGAATTCTTTGCTTTCTCTAAAGGTGAGTAAACAAACAAAAAAACACTGACTACACAGCTGTGATTAGCAGGGATGCATCAGAATCCACTAACATTGTAGTGTGCATAGTAAAAAAGAACATCATAGATGTTTCCAATGCACTTATGTAACCTATTTATGGGTAATACATCGGGGTATTCTACCTATGTGTAACGAACCACACGCACCTGCCCATTGGGTGCAAGTCATTGGGTTAATTGGATTAATTCTCCAGCTGTGCATGGGAGATTAAAGGTGGCCATACACCTTACGATTATCGTACAACACTTTTCGTCCGATGATCGAACCGTCGTACGATTTTCGTACGGTGGCCCCATCCTGCCCTGATCGACCAAAGTTTTCAAACCTGCTTGAAAGTCAAAAGTCGTACAATTGTACAGTATTTGCGGCTGTACACTGCACATGAACCTTGCGATTATCGGACGAAAACGCGATCGCATACGATTATCAGACGATAATGGTAAGGTGTATGGGCACCTTTAGACTAGCTGGTCCTGCATGCTTACCTCTGCCATCACCTGGACTGTAGCATAGCCACACTGAAAGCTCCACACCTGGTGCCAATGACCTTTAAACTGTACTTCCATTTGCAAACAAATTGGAATAACACCTACTTTGTTACATGTTCCCATTCACATAGTATAACTTAAATGTGTTTTAAACATAGCCTGTGCCTAGTCAAGGATGTTTGTTTCCAGTTTTTCTGATTATTTTGCACTTCACTTTGCAGTGGTGGGTCTGGAACAGCGCTAAGGTTGCATCTCAGTGAGTGTTTCAGACCCACCACTGGTGACACAAAGGGTCCACTATACCTCCTGACACTATGAAGCAGTGACTCCAAAGCATAAGGGTTTTATTGGTGCAACTTATTGTAGATGGGAATCCAGAGAGCATTGATGGAGGTTTGGCATCTATGATTGCTGTGTGTAAAGTCAGAAGTGGCAGTTAGTATACTTCAGAGTAAGATATGAACAGGATTTGTGCAAGTGAGTACACAAATCCACCCCCTCCCACCCCACCCTTTTCATGCTTTGGAGGACACTGTCTGCCATAGTATATACAAAACAGCAAAGGATTTAAATGCTATAACAACTAACTTTGCCCTGATAATCTCTTATTTCTCTGTTACACACAGGACGCAGGGTGTGTGCTGGGGAGAGTCTGGCCAGGATGGAGCTATTCCTGTTCTTTACAGGAATGCTACAGAAGTTTACCTTCACCACTCCACCAGGGGTGAAAAAGGAAGACTTGAACCTCACTGCAGATGCTTACTTCGTTATGAGACCTAAGAGCTACCACGTTGTTGCTACCCCAAGAATGTAGACAGCTGCTAATTAAAATGAATGACAACATATGCAGTTTTGAAGTAATTTGACTGGAAAGACCCTTCTTTTTACAAGACTGTTTCTCCGCTCCATGCCAGGGCTAACGGTGTGATTTACAATAAATCTCATTTTGTTTGCTTGTGTCTGCAAGAGTTAAGGTATGCTTTGGAAATCTTAGCGCCTTCTTGTGTGTTTAAGGTCTTGGAATTAGACTGTGGATTTCATCCAGTCATTCTTTCTCTGTTGGAGCCTATCAAGCTGATAGTTATAGAGCTGTGTTTTTATGCAGCTTTACTGACTTTGTCAGGAGAACAGTCAGGTCGCTCCCATCCACCTAGACCAAAGTTATTTGCATCATACCCAGTATATGGCATCTTTGTTCAAAATGTATGTTTGTATTCCAGCCTGCCCCAGCCAGCCTGTAATAGCATATTGACAGCATTTTGGGATTTTCACCAACATATTCATAAGAAAGTAAATGCTAATAATGTTAAAGGTTTCACATTTAGAAGTAAGCTAAACAAAATCTAAATATCAAAAGGTTTAGCTATATAAATTATTTCATCTTTATGAATTAGGCAACCTAGGGCTTGTAAGATGTTTATGGTGATATAAATACCGAAATATTGCATTGTGGATCTTGTACATATTTTAAATCTTGTGGTTTCAAATGGCTGGCATGCTATTGAATGCACACATCTAATGCACACACAAATATAGGGAATGATCATTGCAAGAAAGCTGTATAATTCAAAATGGCAAAATAAAATTGGCATTCAGTGTGAAGCCTATACAGTACTTCATGCCATGCTTTCTGCATAATGAATTGAAAATATCTCCATATGGATGGAGTGGTCTTCAGTCCTGTTAGTGAGCAAGGGAGAGGTCTAAAACATTATTCGGTCCTTGCTAAAACCTAGTGTTTCTGATTACTGAGTCTAATACATGTGTAATATCAGCAAAAGATTTCCAAAGAAAGTCCCTGATACTGCAGTTTTGTTCTTACAAATATCCCTGATTTTTGCTTTTTGCTGCTGGTTATCAATTTGAAAACCCTACTGTTCTTTATGCTAGATAGTATTGTTAACTATTAACAATAAGCTGCCCTTTTTTAATTTATTTATGAAAAGCAACTTTTAGCATTTACCAGTAACCACCACTGTAGTAGGGCTGGTTAACCAGCTAAGAGCTGGATGGACATTGTCTAAGATTGAAAGGCACCTTTGGCTACTGTTAACGGTGCCCTGTACTGTGAAAAGGGACCCATTTGGGTAATGAGTTACAAAAATGAATAAATAATGTAGCCTTACAGTTTATGAAGGTATAACCTGTGTTGAAAGGCAGCAGTGCTCAAATGCCTATATACACAAGCCAAATATATGCACAAAAATGTGAACACGTTAAGAGAGTGGGGTATTCCTCCAGACCATCTCACTGAGCCACCTGCAATGATCACAGATTCCTGGGGTGACAAAGTTCTGTCTGTTCCCCTTTTAATGATTAGCTTTTTGTTTCCACTGATGGCTAGATAGATGTACAATGATATAGGATGCATAAACACACACAATCATTTCAGCTAAACATGTATGTTTATTAATTAAGCAGACATCTGTGGTGCCTTATCCAAAAGAACAATAGAGAACATTAAAGAAATTCAATTTCAGGAAAAAAAAAACATTTCCAGGGTCAACTGGCAAAGGTTGACATCAGCAGTCACTGAGCCTTATCTCAGGTCTATTAGCAGTTATCCCAACACAAAATTAATTCAGATTGGTTGCTTTGGTTTACTTTACCTAAGAATTAGCACTTGCAATAAGAACTCTTTATTGAATAAAGCCTTGACAGTTCTTAAACCTCTTCACATCTTCCACACGTTTATAGCTGAATAAAGCCATGACAGTTCTTAAACGTCTTCACATCTTCCTCACGTTTATAGCTCCATTCACTTTTTGTAACACAAGTTTAAAAACTGAACGTGATTGTTGCACTTCTACTTGTGTGCACTTTTAAGTAGCATTACAATAAGGATGAACTTTTTCTTGTATGCATTCTTAATTCATATTTATAGAATCCTCTCAATAAAGAATCAGATAAGAATGAGATACACAATTAATTAAACATTAATACTGTGATTTTTTGACTGAGAGCAATATTTGTATTTGCATATAATGCTGCTGTTGTAGTAATGATCATTTAATAAGAGTTTTGCCTTAAATGATTTTTGTTTTCCGTTTGTTGAGTTTTTATATTTTTGTGTTTTGAAGTAAGATTGGGTTACCGGCCTCAAACATATGAAAGCTTAGGTACCAGATTTTACAGGTAGGTAGCAATATATATGAATGCCAAAATTATTGTGAACATCAGGGAGACATAGCTATCAGTTCAGAATAAGTAGAATAAGTAGACGTTTTCATTGGGGGTCCTTCGGCTCTCTTCGGCCGCCTCTGCCCTTCGGTTCAGTCGAACTGAAGGGCTGCTCTACAGGCTATTCACTATAGCCTGTACAGCAGCCGAAGGCAGCCGACCGGCTCAGCCGGGCCGAAGGCATGTGCCTCGGCTTGACTGAGCCGTAGTGACACACGAATTGGGGCGAAGGGCCGGCAAATGACAGCTGAGCGGAGACACCTGTGATCTCGCGGCTGGCTCCGCCCAGTTGTAATGACAGATCAGCGTCCCTAAACGCTGATCTGTCATTAAACAATAACAATTGGGCAGAGCCAGCAGTGACGTCACGGCCGGCTCCGCCATGTTTTGTTATTCATTGGCCGGGACCTGCTTGAAGACTCTAGCAGCTGCCGGCCAATAGGAGACAGTTTCTGCTCTGCTGCATTTGGCTATTCGCTCACTACCGTTCGCCCCCTATGTGAATAGGGGCGAACGGCAGCGAGTGAGCTGCCTGAGCTTCGGCTCAGCCAATCCAGATGTTGGATCGCCTGAGTCGAAGTCCTTCTGCACTTTGGCTCAGCCAAACATGCAGAGCATGTTTGGCTGACCGAAGTGCTGCTGAAGGCAGCCGATGTATGGCTGATTACAGCCGATGTACGGCTGAAATCAGCCGTACAAGACAGAAGTGAATAGCGGAACATAGTTCGGCTCACTTCGCTTCGGCTGGGTTATTCACTTGGCTGCCTTCGGCAGCTTTGTGAATAACTCCCATTGTGTTCTAAGAGGGAAACTATGAAAAGGAATGATTTTACATCTTATTGCAGTTGAACTATGGGAAGCTGTCAATGGGTTTTCCCCCAAAGAACTTGGCATGTGAATGAAGGGTTACAGAGAATAATTGCAGAATGACTACCGTGTTTCACTTTGGATGTCACAGTGTGAGGTCAGAGGCAATGACCTTTCTTGCAGATAGGGTTACATTTCTGTTTTTTGCCTGAAGTAGGTATATTTGAGAAGGCTGCTTGTGTGGCATGGTTCTTCCACAAGAATCAGTATGTATTGGGGATGTAGTACTATTTAAAGCTAAATATAACCTTACAGTAGAGTGCCCTTCACACTGCATTGGGTTCATTGCTATTTTAATCTAGGTGGTGATTAGTAAGGTAAAATATTTACTTTATTTATTACTCCCCATCGTTCTTATGTGCCTTCCAAAGCTTGAGATTTATGGGGACCCTGGTTGTTCTCACCTACAGCTGTGACCAGTCAAGTGGCGAAGAGGAGCAGCTTTGTGTTTAACATTTAAACATGAACAGTAATGTAAATAATGATGAGATAGTGATAGAAAGTATGTATATCAATGCAGAAAATAAGCTCTACAAATTGCCCCTCTTTTCTATTTAAGAAAGTTGGTGTAATAATTTCTTGCCTGGTATGCTGATATCCTGCCTGTAACCCCCTCTGCATTTCATAGCAAATGCAACACCATTAGCTGTCAGTGTTCTGATCAGTGCATGTATTATGCACTGATAACTAACAGATACTAATAGTCTATGACTCCTACACATAACCATGTAACCCAACAAGAGGGGTTATACATTTACACGTCAGGACATTTTTATTGGGTGCACTGGTGCAGGTTATAATCTAGGAAATGATGCCACTGGTGACAGGAAAAGGGCTTAACATTACACACACACACACACACACACATCTTCAGAACTCAGGCCCCTCAGCCAGTGCACCAAAGCTTGGTCCATCATCACTCAATATAAGATTTCCATCCCTATTAAGCAGCCTCTTCATATTGCAGCTAATTGTTCCATTCTCACTCAATTAGCACTCATTTTCTTTCAAATTTCGCAGATTTTTTTCACTAGTACGGGTGGAAGGGAATGGAATCACACACTTTTGCATGCTTAGGAACTTTACTGAAGATTTCTCATATGCAAAACCAAATAATATCTTGATCTTCATGTCAGGCACTAACATCAGTTACTCATAGGTGGTTAATTGACTTACTTCCAGTATTTATTTGCAGGGATATTTTTAAGCTCTTGGCACCTGTTTCTGGGCTCTTCTCAGAAAAGGGAGCATTAATGCAAACTCACATGGCTGACCTTGTTTTCTTGTTCTCACCTAAAAAAACAACACCATTGCTCCCCAGCTGCCACTACAGAATGGCCTTTGCACCTGAGCAAAAGGCATCCTTTCTCATGACTGGGGAAGGAAGGAGAATTTCTTAAAAACCATGTGACACCTCCATGTGAGGGCCCAGCTTGAAAGAATAAAACAATGACTAGGGGCAAGTAGCAGAAACAGAATGGGCACCTGTGTTTCCACATAGTACAGTAAGTGGGATACAAGTGAGTTTTGCAAATTCTGGCCAGGTGGTGCAATGTCAAGCTGGCTGTGAACCAAAAAGGACCAAACTGTTCTTTTGTAGAGTTTCCCAACTATATGTCCACCCCCTCCCCATTCACCCCATCTCTTCCCTGCTGTCTACTACTGAAACACACTCACAGTTTGTTCAATGTTTCAGAACCTATGTAACCACTCTTTGCAAAAGTAAATTTGAACATTATTGAGGCCCCAGAATGTGGCTACAATATATTGAAACACATTGACATTCCTCAATGTCCTG